CTCAGTGTCTCAGTGTTTCAGTGTCTCAGTCTCTCAGTGTTTCAGTGTTTCAGTGTTTCAGTGTCTCAGTGTCTCAGTGTCTCAGTGTCTCAGTGTTTCAGTGTCTCAGTGTCTCAGTGTTTCAGTGTCTCAGTGTCTCAGTGTCTCAGTGTCTCAGTGTTTCAGTCTCTCAGTGTCTCAGTGTCTCAGTGTCTCATTGTCTCGGTGTCTCAGTGTCTCAGTGTCTCAGTGGTTCAGTCTCTCAGTGTCTCAGTGTCTCAGTGTCTCAGTGTTTCAGTCTCTCAGTGTCTCAGTGTCTCAGTGTCTCAGTGTTTCAGTGTTTCAGTGTCTCAGTGTCTCAGTGTCTCAGTGTCTCAGTGTCTCAGTGTTTCAGTGTCTCAGTGTCTCAGTGTCTCAGTGTCTCAGTGTTTCAGTCTCTCAGTGTCTCAGTGTCTCAGTGTCTCATTGTCTCGGTGTCTCAGTGTCTCAGTGTCTCAGTGTCTCAGTGGTTCAGTCTCTCAGTGTCTCAGTGTCTCAGTGTCTCAGTGTTTCAGTCTCTCAGTGTCTCAGTGTCTCAGTGTTTCAGTGTTTCAGTGTCTCAGTGTCTCAGTGTCTCAGTGTCTCAGTGTTTCAGTGTTTCAGTCTCTCAGTGTCTCAGTGTCTCAGTGTCTCATTGTCTCGGTGTCTCGGTGTCTCAGTGTCTCAGTGTCTCAGTGTTTCAGTGTTTCAGTCTCTCATTGTCTCAGTGTCTCAGTGTCTCATTGTCTCGGTGTCTCAGTGTCTCAGTGTTTCAGTCTCTCAGTGTCTCAGTGTCTCAGTGTCTCAGTGTCTCGGTGTCTCAGTGTCTCAGTGTTTCAGTGTCTCAGTGTGTTTCGCAAGTGTTTGGCCTCCCATACCTCTGAGCCTCATCATCTCTGCCCATTTTAATGGCAACCACGTGCATCACATTCAGCAGGGAAGTAAAAGGCTTTTCCAGCTTTATCTTGGACTCTGTTGCTGTTTCCAGTAGCCGTACCAGCACTGGTTATGTGTGTGATTTCTTTAGGACTATCATTGACGTCTGTGTAATTTAGAGGAAGCTCACTTGCATCAGACGTTTCTTACATCGAACCAGTATCATGTTAAGAGTATGTCAACACTTTTGGATAATGATATACTATTTGTAGATTGTGGTGGCAGATCTTTAAATCATTACACTACAGTTTTGTTATGCTGTGTATGTTAAACTAAGTCATTTGGCCATTTATTAAATATATCATGAAGCTTACTAAGGGCGTTTATATGCTGCACTGTATAAAATTATATGATCAATAAGTTATGACAACGTGTTTTTACATTGCTTTAACTCAGCAAAATAAGTTAAGCAATTTTAACTTTTTTTATACGTTATACAAGATTCAACTCATTTTTTTAAAAGGCAGTTTAATGTAATTTAAGTTGATATGACTTAAACATCCAAGTTGATTGTGCTTAAAAATTTAAGGAAGCAACTTTATTTTACATAGGATAGCCTACTTCTAAAACCTGACCAAATGATTGAACTGGAGGACAAAGTGTTTTGATTGTGATTATCTGTGAAACAAGAACTCAAAGGAGATTTTGCACGACTGTGGTGTAAACTAGAAAATACTGGCAATAGCTAAATATAAGGAGATGAGACTTTCCTTTGTGAAAAAGAAGTGTGCTTTATTGTCTTCTGTTTGTACTTCAAATCTTTAAAAAGATACTGTATAATCATAATAATGAAATAAAAGGCCACTTAATTGTACTTAAAGAGATACTTTCATGACTGCTTCTTAACGCACTTAAGTACACTTTTAAACAGTGCACTTTGTGATTAAAAGTTTTACTTCAAAGTATATTTTAAATCATTATATTTGATCTTTTCAGTTTCAGTAGAAATTACATTATAATTTAGCTTTCCATAAATGTTTGTCAGTACAGTCGGCAGTACACTTAAATCCTATTTCAAAGATATAGAAGTAATTATGAAATGACGTAAAGATGTATACTTAAGTCCCACTCAAGTGCATGGATCAAAAACACTCTAAAGTTGCATTAAATATATATTTAAACTATAATACATTTTTATTTAATTGCAATTAAGTGTTCATGCTTAAGCATAATCTTTCTGCAATAACTACTAATTTTAAAAGTATGCAAAAGTACTTGTTTTTCACAATGTTGGTATGTCCCGCTCCAGGAAGTTTTTAATTAATAATTATGTTTTGTTAGGAGATATATGTCAGGAAACAGGAAAGAAAACAGTATTTGTCAAACCCTCTTACTTCAAATTAAGGAAACGTATTTTAGCACTACTGTAATCATGTTATCCGCTTATACTTTTGAATAGATTTCACTGATTACTGAAGACATCAGCGCATGCAACGCGCTTTTTTCAGCCCCTCACTGACACGTGGAGCCAAACAGAGGATCATTTATTAACCAGACGCAACACACAGTCTCATGGGACACACTGATCAATAGTGCTTTACCTGCAGGACACACAGCTTTCAGCAGAAGTGCTCTGATCTAATGACAGATCAATGTGAGCCAGTGTTACAGGAAATAACCTGAACACATGACCGGTGTCCACATGCACCCGGATTTTTATAATCATAATGTATATAAATATAATATATATATATATAATCCCATTGTGTTGTACCATGAACTTTGGATACAATTATGCATGGTTAAATGCAGAATAAATAATATTAAAAGTTTTGTTACTCTACAGCTATTACACATTATATTAGATTTGCTTACACTTTATTTTAAAATGTCATTGTTACAGTAATTATATATTTAAGTACTGAGTAATATTAACTACATGTACTTACTATAGGGTTAGGGTAGGATTAGGGTTTGGTTGAGGGTTAGTCGCATGTAATAATGCATAATTTACTGTTATGGTAACATATGTAACAAGGACATTTATTTAAAATAAAGTGTTACCTTGGATGTTTCCTAGGATATTTCTGTACAGTGCACTCCTGTTGAGGATATTGTAGTTACCGAGTCGGCACTATTTCTGTCCGGGGAAAGAGCCACTAGGAAACGGTTCGACTGGTGAATTATGGTCCTGAGAGGCGGTATTTAAATTAGCCCTGCAGCGGTTCCTCTTTCAGGAGCTGAGAATAGATGAAGGTTTATGACCTCCCCTGAACTTAAGGTCATCACTCTGAAAATATGAGCAACAAAACATCTTTTTCAGCATTTCAAGGCCAGATCAAGTAGAGATGCACTCTTAAAAATCGGTTCTTTATTGGCATTTATCGTTCCATAAAGAACCTTTAACACTGAGTCTTTCAATTCCACAAAAGGTTCTTTACAATAACAAGCTTCTTTACACTCTTCAAAATAAAGTTTCCAAAAAGAGGGTTTTCACAGCGATGCCATAGAAGAACCATTTTTGGTTCCCCAAAGAACCTTATCAGGTCTTAAAATAACCTTAAAGAACCTTTGTCCATTTAAAAGTCTCCATAGATGTTAAAGTTTCTTCATGAAACCACTGATGCTAATAAACACCTTTTATTTTGAATAGTGTATAGTGGGAAAAGGTTCTTTATTTAAATCTTCACACTTTTTTAGAACTGATCACTGACGGGTTCTTTGTGGAACCAAAATGGTTATTTTATGCCATTGCTGTGAAAACCCCCTTCATTTTGAAGAGTTATGCATGTTTAATGTTCTTCATGGAACCATAGATGACAATAATTATTAATTTACTCATTTCTTAAAGAGTTTATCTATCCCTTATCCAAAGAGAACCGGGATACGAAGATGTTTACCCCAGTAGCATTCTTTGCATTCTTGTTAAGAAGAACCTTTATTTTTAAGTGTATAGTTAAATACAGTTATTAAAATTTCACACTTTGAAAATGGTTCTTTTAAGAGCTGGGGCCGGGTTCACAAAGCTATTTTAGACCGGCCTATAGTGTTAGACAAGTCTAAAATTTGCTCAGAGACTAGTCTAATGCAAGTTAGACTGTTTCACAAAAATAAAGACTGACTTAATTTAGACCAAAAAAATTAGACACCTTAGGCTAACTTAGGTCTAAGACTCTGTTACCGTGGCAACCAGCAGTAACAATCAGTTACACTACAAACAGCCGAAAGAAAAGGGAAAATGGCTCATAATTTGTGGTTTGCTGACGGCGTTATGGAGAGAGCTGTGAGAAGAAGGGAAAGGGTTTTTAGGGACAGTAACCAGTAACCTAATGTTACTTGCTTTAAGTTTCTCTTGGGGTCCTCCTCCCGTTTTTGGATATTTCCTCTTAAATATTTCTTTTTTGGTATCTTGTAACCATGTTTTTGTATCTTTTCTGTACGTCTTTAGCGCTCCGCTCAAAGGTCGGATTAACGCTGTTAACTGTCTGTGGCGAGCAGGACGAGGTCGAGGCGGGATGTTTTTTTATTTTGAAAAGTGTCTTATTTTACCCAGAATGCATTGCAGTGTAGTCCTACTTAAGATAGTCAGAGTCTTAAGTGCTTTGTGCAACGGTCTGATTTAGATGTCTATCTGAAGTCTGATTATCTACTATATCTAAGCCGTAGTCAAAGTCTATCTTTGTGAAACCGGCCCATGATCACTGAATAGTTCATTGGGGAAGCAAAAATGGTTCTTCAATGATAAAAAAAAACCTTTTATTTTTAATAGTTAAAATTGCACTTGTTTACTCTTTCCAGTGCCCCTTGATATATAACATGGCATTGATTATCATAGTCATATACAGTATGCTATTTCTGTAGTTGTCAAAGTTATTTTAAAGATCCTGGTCACTAAAACGGTCATTGCTACCATAAGGATCTATTTTCTAACCCTTAAAATATGATTTTATTGTCATAGCCCAATGATGATGGTTTCATTCAGTCATATTAAATAATATATTTATATACTATAATTGATATAGGCCTAATATATTAGCTTAGATTTTACCACATTCATTGTTTCCCAGAATAAACTGCTTGTTTTGAAAGTGAATCCACTGCTTATGGTTTTTGTCTTTTTCTTCTAGATGGACCTGAAGCTACTTTTCATATCAACATTATTAGGGATGATTTGTTGCGGCCGTGCACAGCAAGGTAATGTGAACTTTCAGACCACCGAAGCTTGAAATGCTGTACTGTAACTCTGTCCGACTCATCAGAACTAATAAGCGCTGGGTTTGTTTGGAGGTTGCACAGTTAAATACTGCTGTCATTACTCAGAGGTCGCCTCGCCCAGCGTTATCCTCATGGAAAACAGTAGTCGTCTCTGGCTCCGGTTACTGTACGCCAGAGCCATGTGAATGAATCGACTCTCGCTCTGTCTCTTGTGTTCTGCAGAGGGCAACGAGTGCATCAAAGCCAACGCGTTATCCTGCGGCGAGTGCATACAAGTGGGGGCTAAATGTGGATGGTGCACTGATACCGTGAGTAGCGTTAAAGGGCCACGCGCCTTCTTCACTTTAACTCTTTATTGCTGAAACAAACACATTTATTGCCCTGATGTACTCTTTGTGCAGCATCACACTCATAATCACAGCTGCACTGATATTCAGACCAACAGCTGGATTATGATATTGCCTTTATACTTCAGTTTTCTGGGCCAGACAGATACGAGTCTGACTCAAACTTAGTCATTTGATATTAATAGTTATGGCAGATTTGCCAGGAACAGTAATGGCGGATGAGTGTTGCCATTCCATTCATGTTTGGCAATCTCGTTCCTCATGGAAAGATCGTGGTGATGCTTGAGTTTGTGCTTATATCAGTCCTTATAAGGAGTTTCAGGCATCAATGATAATAACAAAAGATTATGGAATCATTAAATCCACAAACAGGCACTGCAGGGGACAGTGATGATATCTTATTAATTACTAAAAAGTGTATTTTGTAACACAACATTTGTTTCTTTTGTTTAGATTAATTAACTTCAAAATGATTTTCTTTTCTAAAATGTTCTATTTATTATATGATTTTTTATATTTTTAGTAGTACTGTATGCTTCATTAAATGTTTTGTATGAGAAACGTTCACTAGCATTAAAAAGTTTGTTGTTTTTTTAAAGAAATATTCATTCATTACATTGATTAAAAAATGTCAGTAATTTACATAATAAATGCTGTTCTTTTGAACTTTCTATTCATCAAAGAATAAATCAAATGTATGATGGTTTCCACACAAATATGAAGCTGTTTCCAACACTGATAATAATCATAAATGTTTCTTGAGCATCAGCTCCTCATATTAGAGTGATTTCTGGAGGATCATGTGACACTGAAGACTGGAGTAATGATGCTGGAAATTCAGCTTTGATCACAGGAATAAATTACACTTTACTATATATTCACATAGAACAAATTATAATAATATTTCACTGTTTAACTGTATTTTTGATCAAATAAATGCAGCCTTGTTGAGCAGAAGAGACTTCTTTCAAACACATTAAACAATCCTACCAACCCTAAACTTTTGAACAAATATAAATAATCTGACATGCTTAACACAATCCCAAATAACAGCCTGAATATTTTCTCCTCACGCAACAGGAGTTTCTGAAACAGGGAGAGCCGACGTCGGCGCGCTGCGATGAACTGGAGTCGCTCAAGAAAAGAGGCTGTTCGAACACCAAGATCGAAAACCCTCACGGCAGCCAGAAGATCCTGAAGAACAAAGCAGTGACCCACCGCAAGAAAGGAGCGGAGAAGCTTCGACCCGAGGATATCACACAGATCCAGCCTCAGAAACTCAGCCTCAAACTCAGATCTGGTGCCTGATCTCTTACAACCGTTGGGTTTATTGATCTGCGCAAGTAACTGTGGGAATACATACGAACACATTTTGTTTTGTGAACGAATTGTTATTTCTGTAGGGGAACCTCAAAATATCAAGCTGAAGTTCAAGAGGGCTGAAGACTATCCCATAGACCTGTACTACCTGATGGACTTGTCCTACTCCATGAAGGACGACCTGGAGAACGTCAAGAATCTCGGGACTAGTTTGATGAAGGAAATGTCCAAGATCACCTCAGATTTCAGGATAGGTGAGAGTCTTATAAAACCATGCTGTGAAACTAAACTCTTGTAGTTTAGCTTTAAAGCCTTGGTTCTATACCAGTTTTAACCCTGTAAAGCTTGACGTAATAACGGTCATACATTGAAAAATAAAGTAAAATGTGATTTTCTGGTACTGGGGTGTGTTTCCCGTACAGCGCTGTAACTCGCCGCTTCACTGTCACAGTACGATACATCGGTGAAGACATCATCTAGCTATCCCACGACTGTTTTCCGAAACCATATTGTCGCAAAGTGGTCGGTTCAACCACGTTGGTTAATGATGTCACGCAGTTATTGGAGTAATAACTTCTTTTAATGAAACTGTTTGAGATCGAATTAACGCTAGATGTTTTGATACCAATTACAGACATGACATCTGAGGACTATTTCAAATTTTTCTGTTATTTTGCTTTATTTCCAGATTCAATCAGACTCCTACGCACTAGAGCTCGTTCACACATGCGCACTCTTCAAAAACGATGCTTTAAATCTCTTGACAAATTAAAAGATGTAAATGACATTTGTATGTATTCTAAATAAAAGACACGGATTGCACTGAATGTCAGCTTGCTGCTTATTTGCTCAAGATCAGGATTTATTGAGTCCACATGTCATGAAAACTAGAAACTGCTTCTAACCGCAGCTCGAGATCTGTCGCTCACACACACAACTCTGCGATGGTGTTTGCGAATGTTTGTTGGAACGATGGTTTCGGGAAACACGACTCGTTGAACTGCTGATAACGACAGAACTTACGACCATAGTTGGCTAACGACAGGGCTCGACATAAGCAATGGCCCGATGGCCCGGGGCCAGTAAAAGAGTTTGTCGGGCTAGTTGATTGGCCAGTCACTGGCCCGCGCGGGCCAGTGAATGGCCATCAGCAAAACAAACAGCAAACGTCATGATACACAGTGGCGCGAAGAGTGTCAATGTTACTTCAGGTTATTTATAACGTGTTAAAATGTCGAAGAACTACGAGGCTGATACGAGAAAGAGGACATTCCTAGTAGGGCTGGGCAGTAGGCCATATATCGAGTTTGTACAATATATCGATTTTTTTAAACGATATGGAATGAGGCAATACCGTTTATCGATACAGTAGTTTGATACGAGCACATCTGAAAAATATAGCGGAGGAAGCAGTGTGATCCTGCAGTGAAAGAACATAGTACAATTGTCCTAAACATGACACAAGCTAGTATTAAGCGCTTCAAAATAACTAGTAAGATATAGTTAACAAGTTTAAAGCAGCCCTGTCAGATGCTCTGACAGATACTGTTGCTGACTGACAGATAAATACTTGCGCTGTTTAATGCGTTTGAGATGTGGTGCTTTCCTCAGTGCTTAACTTACATTTCACGGGTATATTCTCCATCTGTAAATGTTAGAAAGTCAAACAAATATGTCCATTTCACTGTCAGGAGAGGACGAGCTTCTGCAAGTGAATCTCCGCTAAAATTCAAGCTTCCGTTAATGAGCGCCGCCGCGAGCACGCGCGCCTCTAACAGACGAGCACAATAAAGAGTAGCGCAAAAAATTCTGACTAAAATATACATGTTGCTAAAATATTTGTTGTTGGAGACAATAAATGTGCCATATGTGGAATTTTAAACCTACAAGTATATTTTTTATGAAAGTGACCATTATAATGGGGTAATCAAATGCAGGCTAAAATAATTAGTGTTTGCTTTTGTTTTTAGTTTAGCCTTTAGTCATTTTAAAAACAAAGTTTTTAGATTGTAATGTTACAATTTTAGAATGTAATGTGATTTGAACCACCTTTTTGCACATAATATAGCCTATTGCATAGCCTACATTACATTCCCTACACTGTAAACCCTAATGCTCAAAATGATTAATTGGTTTGAGTAGGACAAACTTAAATTAAACAAATTAGTTCAGTCAAATTAACTTTTATGAGTATTTAGCACTTTCTTTTTCTTTCAAGTTCACTGAACTCATATATTTTAAGTAAACTGAACTGTTTCATTGTTTTGAGTTTTATGAAATTATTTATTTTAATTTAGACGAACTTAAGTTTAACTCAAACAGCTGGGATGTCTATTTCCCAGCATGCTTTGCCGATGGCACTCGAAAGGGAGAGTAAATGCTAAAATTAAGTGTAATATAATGTTTTTTGTATGTAAGATTAATGTTATGTGTGAGATTTAGTAGTGATTCATGTTTTGTTATGCTAATTTAGAAGAATTTCTGTTAATGTTGGCTTTAGGATAGTTACCATCATGGTGACAAGTGGTGCATGCAGCTTGATTTGAGAGCAAATAATCCATTTATATTGCTGTGCTCATACAGCAAGTGGTTCTGTATAACATAGCTAATATGTTAGCATTTACTATTTTAGCAGATTAGCTTTTTAAAGCTAACTAAGTTCATACTAATAAAAGTATTTTGAATTCTGCCAACTTATTTGGGTTTACAGTGTACTTCATAGATTTAAGTTATATTAACTGAATGGAATTAGTACTATTAACTTTATTTACCCAAGTTATCTTAACAATAAGTTATTGAGTTACTTGAACACAAATCAAATATTTTTTTAAGCTTAAATTGTTTGAGTTAATAAACTTAAATGATTTAAGGCAATCGGTTTCCTCAAACGGTTTGAGTTGAACTAACTCATCAGGTTTTACAGTGTATATTTGTTTCCATATCCTTCAATTTCAACATTGTTTTGTTCTTCCTCTTTTTTTTCATTGACAGCTTTTTTTAGGTCATAAATGTTAAACGAATGACAAAAATAATCAGGCAAACTAATATACTTTTGTTTAATTTCACCATTTTGAAGTGAAAATAGGCCTATGTAACGTTACTCATCACTCATGTAATGTAATAATTAGTTTACTGTCATTGTGAGGGGACAAGAAAAATTAATTCTAATGTATACAATAAATACAGTTTAATGGAAAAGTGCTTTTCCTTATATTTCTTTCAGGGCCAGTAAAAATAAAGAAGGGGCCAGCAAAACTCTGATCTACTGGCCCTGGGGGCCAGTGGAGATTTTTTTTTATGTTGAGCCCTGCTAACGATGCTTTCGGGAAACACACCCCAGGATGAGAGCTTATTACTTACGAAACCGATCTTTTACCGATTTTTGCTGATTATTTTATTTCAGTTTACGAAAATGTTTTTTGACCAATAGTTTTTTGACCAAAAGTCTTGGTTTCAGTTTTACGAAAATCACCTTGTTCCGGACAGGTTTCGGCTCTTTCGTGGAGAAGACGGTGATGCCGTACATCAGCACGACTCCAGCCAAGCTCCTGAACCCCTGCACTGGGGACCAGAACTGCACCAGTCCCTTCAGCTACAAGAACGTGCTGAAACTCACCAGCAACGGCCAGCAGTTCAACAGTCTGGTGGGGAAACAGCAGATATCTGGAAACCTCGACTCTCCCGAGGGAGGGTTTGATGCCATCATGCAGGTTGCCGTCTGTGGAGTGAGTATTAAACAGCTGGAGGACGGTTTGCTCTGTTTGGATGCACGATATATCGGCCACCATATCGGTGTCGTATCGATTCATTTTTAATGTTATCGCTATCGGCCTGATAAGAAAATTTGGCCGATATATTAAAGCCAATAAATAAGGCATTATTTCCTTTAGAAATCGACCGATATTGATTTTTTTATAATCGATACCGATCATTTGCATGTTTATGTGCCTGATAACCGATATACAGAACCGATATTTATTGTTTTATTCCTGTTTTTGACAATTATAACAACACCACTGTACTTATTTAACACTTACTCCTTGCAGACACAAAAACAAAACACACTTCACACACACAGAGAGAAAATCAAATTCAGCGCTTTTATTTCCGACATGCACTCATTCTTGTTTCATATAATTCTACGTCTTTATTGGGACAGGACTTGATGGATTACGTGACTCCGTGAGTTCATCTCTATTTTTTACTATATATATCAAGCATTTATGTAACATATCTCATTTGTGCTTTAAGTGAAACAAGCAAGTCTGACATAGGCTACATGAAATTATAATGAGAACATCATTATAATAGTGTGCTTGGGACATGGCTGTTAAAGGGATAGTTCACCAAAAAATTTAAATTCGCCCATGATTTACTCACCCTCAAGTCATCCTAGGTGTGTATATGACACTCTTCTTTCAAACGAATACAATCAGTTATATTAAAAAATGTCCTGGCTCCTCCAAGCTTTATAATGGGAGTGAATGGGTGTTTCTGTTTTGAAGTCCATAAAAGTGCATCTATCCATCATAAAAGTGCATCTATCCATCATAAAAGTGCATCTATCCATCATAAAAGTGCATCTATCCATCATAAAAGTGCATCTGTCCATCATAAAAGTGCATCTGTCCATCATAAAAGTGCATCTATCCATCATAAAAGTACATCTATCCGTGATCAAAGTGCATCTATCCGTGATCAAAGTGCATCTGTCCATCATAAAAGTGCATCTGTCCATCATAAAAGTGCATCCATCCATGATCAAAGTGCATCTGTCCATCATAAAAGTGCATCTGTCCATCATAAAAGTGCATCTATCCATCATAAAAGTGCATCCATCCATCATAAAAGTGCATTCATCCATCATAAAAGTGCATCTATCCATCATAAAAGTGCATCTGTCCATCATAAAAGTGCATCTGTCCATCATAAAAGTGCATCTATCCATCATAAAAGTGCATCTATCCATCATAAAAGTGCATCTGTCCATCATAAAAGTGCATCTATCCATCATAAAAGTGCATCTATCCATCATAAAAGTGCATCTATCCATCATAAAAGTGCATCTATCCATCATAAAAGTGCATCTATCCATCATAAAAGTGCATCCATCCATCATAAAAGTGCATCCATCCATCATAAAAGTGCATCTATCCATCATAAAAGTGCATCTATCCATCATAAAAGTGCATCTATCCATCATAAAAGTGCATCTATCCATCATAAAAGTGCATCCATCCATCATAAAAGTGCATCCATCCATCATAAAAGTGCATCTATCCATCATAAAAGTGCATCTATCCATCATAAAAGTGCATCTGTCCATCATAAAAGTGCATCTATCCATCATAAAAGTGCATCTATCCATCATAAAAGTGCATCTATCCATCATAAAAGTGCATCTATCCATCATAAAAGTGCATCTATCCATCATAAAAGTGCATCTATCCATCATAAAAGTGCATCCATCCATCATAAAAGTGCATCCATCCATCATAAAAGTGCATCTATCCATCATAAAAGTGCATCTATCCATCATAAAAGTGCATCTATCCATCATAAAAGTGCATCTATCCATCATAAAAGTGCATCCATCCATCATAAAAGTGCATCCATCCATCATAAAAGTGCATTCATCCATCATAAAAGTGCATCTATCCATCATAAAAGTGCATCTATCCATCATAAAAGTGCATCTATCCATCATAAAAGTGCATCTATCCATCATAAAAGTGCATCTATCCATCATAAAAGTGCATCTATCCATCATAAAAGTGCATTCATCCATCATAAAAGTGCATCTATCCATCATAAAAGTGCATCTATCCATCATAAAAGTGCATCTATCCATCATAAAAGTGCATCTATCCATCATAAAAGTGCATCTATCCATCATAAAAGTGCATCTGTCCATCATAAAAGTGCATCTGTTTGATAGATGCACTTTTATGATGGACAGATACACTTTTATGGACCTCAAAACAGAAACAGTCATTCACTCCCATTATAAAGCTTGGAAGAGCCAGGATATTTTTTAATATAACTCTGATTGTATTCGTCTGAAAGAAGAGTGTCATATACACCTAGGATGACTTCAGGGTGAGTAAATCATGGGCTAATTAAAATTTTTGGGTGAATTATCCCTTTAATGGTGACTTTTGTTTTTGTAATCAGGATCTCAAAAATTCTATACAAATTTGGATTTATATTTATCGGCCAATATATCAGTTATCGGCTTTCAAATATAAAGAATTATCGGTATCGGACAAAATTTTCATATCGGTGCATCTCTATATTAAAGTTTATTATGTACTAAATAACTGCTAGTTTGTCAAACTAGTTCTTAATAAGACAGACTGTATGTAACTGGCAGTATTATACTGAATGCCCTTATTTGATTATTTTCTGTTTTAAATGCCACAGTAATATTGCATCTTTAATTAATTTGTGTTCTTAATCTGTTTTTGTACTTTCTGCTCACTCTTTGTATCCCTTGGCCTCATTTTTCTCCTTCTCCCTGTTCTCTCTCTCTCTCTCTCTCTCTCTCTCTCTCTCTCTCTCTCTCTCTCTCTCTCTCTCTCTCTCTCTCTCTCTCTCTCTCTTTATATCTCTCTCTCTCTCTCTCTCTCTATCTCTCTCTCTCTCTCTCTTTATCTCTCTCTCTCTTTATCTCTCTCTCTCTCTCTCTTTATCTCTCTCTCTCTCTCTCTCTCTCTCTCTCTCTCTCTGTCTATCTCTCTATCTATCTCTCTCTCTCTCTCTCTTTATCTCTCTCTCTCTCTCTCTCTCTCTCTCTCTCTCTCTCTCTCTGTCTATCTCTCTATCTATCTCTCTCTCTCTCTCTCAGAACCACATTGGCTGGAGAAATGTCACCCGTTTGTTGGTGTTCTCTACTGACGCAGGTTTTCATTTTGCCGGAGATGGCAAACTCGGTGGAATCGTGCTTCCCAATGATGGGAAATGCCACTTAAAAGACGGCATGTACACGATGAGCCATTATTATGTATGTATATCACACTTTCCAGCAAGGCCGTAACCGTGTCTTGAACATTTGGGTGGACAAAAAAAAATTAATTCTAGATTTGGGGGGTTGCATAGATGCTGTCACAAATGTAATGGTCCTTTTGTTTAAAGGAATTTAAGAAATAAAGGATTCAAATAGGAAAAAAGAAAAAGAAAGAACTTGAATCTATTGTGATATGAACTATTGCAAATAATATTTTTATTTTAAAATGTGCACATTGACACTTAATCGTATTCCTAAATGGCCCTGTTTCTCGCATTCAATCACTACTTATATGACAAGAATCATGTAAATGGCTATTTTTAATTTAAAATTTGACAAATTTGTCCCTCTCAATGTCTACGGCCCTGTTTTCTGGGGATTTTCAGACCAGATGTATTGGATGTTCGGCTCATATCTTTCCTGTCCTTTCCTGACTAGGATTACCCCTCCATCGCCCACCTAGTTCAAAAACTGAGTGAAAATAACATCCAGACCATCTTCGCAGTTACAGAAGAGTTTCAGCCGGTTTACAAAGTAAGTCCATAGATGATTATCTTAATGATGTGCATGAGCGGGAACACTCTCTATTTTTGTCTCAAGCCTGTAGTTTCTTCCCCTGTTCATTTTTTTTTTTTTTTTACTTGCTCAAAGAGAAGGTCTGCAGTCTCTTTCCACACTTGTGTGTGGTGCTACAGTAGCTGGATTTAACCAAAGCCTCAGTGCTAAGTGTTAAATTTAAGCACATAACATGCAAGTGTTGCATGAGTGAGTCCTCAAACCCTGTGGCCGGTTGAGAGGAGGCATGCTATTGCTTTTCTACGTGATCAGACTTACAATATTCCCCTTCTGGATGATAAAACTGATTTAAAAATGCCATAGACTTGCATTGAAAGAGCCATATCTAGAGACAAGACTGTGTGTTACAAATGGATGAATTGTATAATGAAATGCCATCTCAAATATGTCACTCCCGAGAGCCTGAAACTCTCCTGAATCCAACTTCTCTGTATTTGGAAAGCCACAACCCCAAGATAGTTTCCCGGCTTGGAATGATCCAGACGGCAAAGTCATAATTTAGAGTTCCTGTCTGCTGGTTAAAAGCCCTGCTGTAAAACAAACACCCTGCGTCCCTGTGCTTAAGATTCATGAATGTTTTTCTCTGTTTTTTCCCCTTTCCACAGGAACTCAAAAACCTGATTCCAAAGTCTGCAGTGGGAACGCTTTCAGCAAACTCCAGCAATGTTATCAATCTTATTATTGATGCATACAATGTGAGTAGATAAAGTTTCTTTATACAGTAGTGGCCAAAAATCATGTCCGGAGGGGATATTTGTTTTTAATGACCCTTACAGGTTTGATTAAACCATTCAAATATAAAGGAAATGTTCTTGAGGCAAGAACAAAACACTAAACGTAGTTAATTGGACAAAATCCAAACTAAAGCTACAGGTTTCTGTGTGCACAGAAAAACAATAAGCTCTCCGGAAAAAGCAAAAGCAATCGTTTATCATTTCTTTGTATGATAGCCTGGCCAAAAATTATGTTGGGCAATTATGTTGGGAAGTACTGGGAAGATGAAATCAATGGATCAATTCCATGGAAAGAATATTTTAGATCAATTTATAACACTACTGTAGATTCATATTCAAGAATATTCCAACTAAAAAATGTTTGCAAGATAATTGCAACAAAAAAAAAACGTTATATTTATATCACATTGAAAATAATCCATATTGCAGATTTTGTGAGGAAGAAGAGGAAGACCTATGGCATTTATTTGACTTTCGCCCAGTAGTATATAAATTCTGGTCAAGTGTCCAAGTTTGGTTAAAGACGGCTAGAATGGAATTTACCATAACACCTCAAACTATTGTACTTGGTCATTTTACAGGTAGTTTGCTTGTGATAAATACCATTTTATTAATAGGGAAAATGTTTATTTTTAAAACAAAAGTATCATCATGCTTGTGTTTAGGTTACTTTAAGAATGTTATAACACTCTAAAAAATGCTGGGTTGTTTCAACCCAAATTTGGGTCAAATATGGACAAACCCAAATGTTGGGTTAAAAATGCAATTAAAAAAATTACAGTTGAAAGAGAAAGTTGAAGTTGAGTTAAAATTTGAAATTACATTTTTAACCCAACATTTAGGTTTGTCCATATTTTACCCAATTTGGGTTAAAACAACCCAGCATTGTTTAGAGTGAAGGTCGTATCTTCTTTTAGAAAAATGATAATAGCAGAAAGCAACAATAAATTAGATGAATATAACAAAAAATGGAATAATATTCTGTTTATTATAATTATATGAAACCTTTTCTCATGTATGTTGTGGGGTATGAATGTGAGGATGAATGTATAAGCATGTAGTGTCTCTGTAGATTTGGGTCTGTAAATTGTATTTCTTATTAAATAAAGATTAAAAAAATAAAAAATATATGTTGGACAATTTGGTTTTATTGCGCTATTATCACAAATAAGACAGTTGACTCCAGGCACAACTATGCAATATGCTTACAAAGTCTTTAACACATCTTTAATAATATTTGAATGAAGGGTGAAGATTTTCTCACTTTTGGCCTCTACTGTTACAGTCGCTAGGACACATTTCTCAATACTTAGGTCACTTTTTCTTCCCTCTTCACACAGTGAGCACAACAGAAGTATATGTGGGCTAAACTGTGGATCATTTATCATTGCTTTGGCACAAAATGCATTCAATGACTACATCTTTCAAATTACATTAATTCTTTTCTCACTTCTACACAACAACCGCCAAAACTACAGGCCAATTTGCACATGCTGTTTTCAAAACTGTTAAACTTAAGTTCAGAACAATAAAACTGAATAAGACAGCATTTTGCCACATTTCTACAGTAATATTGTAATGAAATATATTTCGAATCTAATGGTGTAAAAACAATTGGACAAACCACAGCTGATTCCTATTGTGTCTGAATCAGTGGATCATGGTGTGTATTGTTGTATTTGTAATTCCAAATTGTTGTACTTTGGAATTACTCCAAAAACATAAAATATATGTCATATTGAAGCATACTGCGTCATGTCTAACTCATTCTAGTCACATATATTGCAGTGAATGCTAAACCTTAGAGAGGTAGAAGAGAGAAAGCATTTACAGAGGAGAACACTGTATAAAGTTTCCTGTTGTTAGTGTTTTTTAGGTCATTGTTTTGTGGGTGACAGAGTGTGTTTGTTGGCTGTCAACCTTTGCTAGTGTTCTGGAATAATGTGTTGATTTGAGAACGACGTGATTTTGTAGTTTTAGTGCATTTTGAATGTGAAATTAAAGGGTTAGTTCACCCAAAAATGAAAATGATGTCATTAATGACTCTCCCTCATGTCACTCCAAGCCCGTCAGACCTCCGTTCATCTTCAGAACACAGTTTAAGATATTTTAGATTTAGTCCGAGAGCTTTCTGTCCCTCCATTGTAAATGTATGTACGGTATACTGTCCTTGTCCAGAAAGGAAATAAAGACATCATCAAAGTAGTCCATGTGACATCAGTGGGTTAGTTAGAGTGTGTTGAAGCATCGGAAATACATTCTGGTCCAAAAATAACAAAAACTAGGACTTTATTCAGCATTGTATTGTCTTCCGGTTCTGTTGTGGATCCGCGTTCAGTGCCGCCGCTGACGTGTGTGTGTGTGTGTGTGTGTGTGTGTGTATTCTGGTTCTGTTGTGGATCCGCGTTCAGTGCCGCCGCTGACGTAAGACGCTGCTGACGTGTGTCTGGTGTGTGTGTGTGTGTGTGTGTGTGTGTGTGTGTGTGTGTGTGTGTGTGTGTGTATTCCGGTTCTGTTGTGGATCCGCGTTCAGTGACGCTGCTGACGTGTGTCATTAATGACATAATTTTCATTTTTGGGTGAACTAACCCTTTAACTGCTGTGCCGAGCTGAAAGTTGGTTAGGAGAACTGTGTGAAGAGTTTTGAAAAAGTGACCTAAGTATTGAGAAATGTGTCCTAGCGACTGTAAAACACTGTAATATCTCCAGTATCTAAAGGACCTGGACTGATTTATGTTTTCTCAGTCTCTTTCCTCAGAGGTGATCCTGGAGAACAGCAAGCTTCCCGAGGGAGTGACGATCAGCTATCAGTCACACTGTAAGAATGGACTCGTGAATGAGGGAGAGAATGGGCGGAAGTGCTCTAACATCTCCATCGGGGACGAGGTGAGTTCACGAGCATGATGTAATGGGCATCAGAAACCTGTAGCCTGTTGTTCCTTAATCTTTTCCTGTTTCCAATGAATCCTCAGGTGTCGTTCAACATTAATATCACAGCTCAAGGCTGTCCCAAACAAGGCAAACCGGAAACCATTAAGATCAAGCCTTTGGGCTTTACTGAGGAGGTCGAGATCGAACTCAACTTTATTTGCGAGTGTGATTGTCACAAGAACGGCATCAAGAATAGTGAAATGTGCCATAACGGCAATGGGACGTTTGAGTGCGGAGCCTGCAGGTGAGACGTCCTCACGTCACTATCCTGGATTTGCTTAGGCTTATAAAAATGCATGAGTTTGGTTAATTGCTAAATTACATGTGATTTTTTTTCCTGGAAGGTGAAACAAACTGCATATGCTGTGCTTATATTATATGTGTGTGGGTGGGTGTGTGTGTGTGTGTGTGTGTGTGTGTGTTTGTTCCCCTTATCTGTGTGTGAGTGTTTGTCTATGTTTGTGAGAGAGAGATTAATAGCTTGATTATAATCACTCATTCATTACATATAAATTGAAGCAGCAGCGGATTCCAGTCCACCCCCTTCAGTAACATTAGGCAGTTTAATGATGGTGATCACGTTATTTTACATATGTATCTGTTTACATATGCTATCGCTAGTTTCTGCTTCTTCTTCGCCCGTGTTTTGATCAGGAAATCAGCGCCCCCTACCATATAACATTAGCCTGGGAAAACCCAGACAACTTCCGGCAAATTTAGATTTGCTCTGAAAGTTAGTCTGGCAAAGAGCTCATTCAAGCCCATTTCCAATCCGCCGAAATCGAGGCACCAATCAGAAGCGTTGGGGCGGGCTTTACACGATGACGACAGCGCTGGGGTTTTGAAGCAGATTTTGTAGCCTACATTACAAAGATGGATGCCGCCGTCGAACATCACTATCGCGTCTGTTTTAAGCCATTTGAACGTTTCCTTTTTGTTAAAAACCGAGCAAAGAACAACACTCGGAGATGTGTCTCCGCCGCTCTGCATACGTCATCTCCTTCATCGCTCTGATTGGGTTTAGGTCTATCCGCGACGTCCGTTGGCGACGCCCCTCTGGAAATGATTTGTCTTTGCCAGACCATAACTCGGTTACAACTGAGAATGCTCTAGTTTTAACCAGGCTAATATAACAGTGAAAACACAGAAAGCTGTAAATTTCCATCAATGGCGAGGAAAATCTCATTCACATTATCATAAGGGTCCAGATAATGTTTTTTATTTAGTATCGTTGTATTTCTCATTATTTACATAATACCATGATTTATTGCATTACTGTAACAATATAATACAGTGATTTATTTAAATCAGCATACATTAAATACAATTCAAAGTCAAAGAAAATAATGTCACAATGCAAAACAAATATAAATGTTTGCTTTATTGAGAATACAGTTGATTTTAGGGTTAAACTTTGATGTAAAACATCTTTTTGTACCTGTTTGGACATTAACTGCGTGAGTCAGAATCTCTACATTAGTTATGTTGTTGTTCTCAGCATCTTCTCAGTTCTCCTCGTGTGCGTTCAGGTGTAATAAGGGCCGTGTGGGGAGGCAGTGTGAATGCCGGAAAGACGAGGTGTCCACCGAGGACCTGGACAAGAACTGCCGTAGGGACAACAGCACGGACATCTGCAGCAATAACGGCGAGTGTGTGTGCGGGACCTGCGAGTGCAAGAAGAGGGAAAATCCCGAAGAACGTTACAACGGAGAATTCTGCGAGTGTGACAACTTCAACTGCGACCGCTCCAATAATAAACTCTGTGGAGGTACTGAAACGGGAAGCTTTTTCTTTTTTTGGACCACCGATGCATCACTCAGAAGACTATTAATAGAGGAAAAGGACATGTAAACGGGTGGAAAGCAGGCACACTGCAAAAAATGCTTTTCTTAATTAGTATTTTTGTCTTGTTTCCAGTCCAAATATCTAAAACTTCTTAAATCAAGATGCATTGTCTTATTTTCTAGGGAAATAAATCAAAATTAAGAGAGTTGTTGCTTAAAAAAAGCTCAAATATCTGCCAATGGGGTAAGAAAAATAATCGTTAACGCTTTAGATTACAGCCCGGAAAGTACTGTGTAATTAAGAGGAATTTACAGAGTAACTTTCGGTAATAATAGTGTACCTATAAAGTACTTACATGTAAGTATAAGGGAACAATATGTAAAGTTTGGGGAATAAAGGGGTAACAACCAAGAGAATTAAAAAAATATTTATACTGTAAGTATTATAGAACTAAGGGGAACTTATTCTACTATTATGATAAAACAATCTTACATTTCGGAGCAATTTAGCAAGAACATACACTGCGTAGCTTTTTGTAATAATTGTGTACCAATACATACTGTATAGGCTTTTTTACAATTACAGGGTACATATCTGTGCATTTATACTCTTTTTTTTTTTTTTTTTTTTTGGTAGCAAAGGTGCAGATGTTTAAGTTTGGGCTAACATGTTTCAAGGCAAAAGCTAAGACTATTGCAATTTTTTTAAATACTGGGAAATATATCTGGTTTCATGTGGTTACAGGGTAAGTGGGGCTTGTATAATAAATAAAGGTTTCCGAGTCAGTGATATAAGATTGTGTGTATGCAATTTGATTGTACTTACCCTGTAACTACATGGAACAAGAGGGTAACAAACACCACTACATGAAACAAGAGTATCTTTCCCCAATATTTTAGCAAAAGTTGCAATAGTTTTTGTTTTCAGTGCACTTTTTAAAAAAAGATTACTTTATAAATGCATAAATATGTACCCTGTAATTTTTAAAAAGCCTATACAGTATGTACTGGCTCACCATTATTTCAAAAAGGTACGCAGTGTATGTTCTCGCTAAATTGCTCCCAAATGTAAGATTGTTGTATCATAATAGTAGAATAAGTTCCCCTTAGTTCTATACTTACAGTATAAATATTTTTTTAATTCTCCTGGTTTTACCCCTTTATTCCCCAAACTTAAAATATTGTTCCCTTATACTTATTGTAAGTATGTTATAGGTACGCTAGAATTACAGAAGGTTATGCTGTAAAATTGCTTTAATTACCCAGTACTTTCCGGGCTGTAATCTAAAGCGTTACCAAATAATCTTGTTTCTGTTTAACATTATTTTTCTTACACTATTGGCAGATAATTTTGCTTGCATTAAGCAACAACTCTCTTAATTGTGATTTATTTCCCTAGAAAACAAGACCTAACATCTCATGGCATTTTACTCATCTAGTAAATGCATCTTGATTTAAGAATATTTAGATATTTGGACTCGAAACAAGACAATAATACAAGTAAGAAATTTCAAAGCAACTTTACAGAAAATGCACGAGTCCACATTACAATTTATAGTGATCTGTTATCAGAAGTAACTGTCTTAGTTATGTATTTCAGAAAAGCACATACATATACAAAATCACAGTTAGCAAAAAAGGTTTTAATTTAAACAATGTTATAATTTAAAGGAGCTCATTAAAGTAATGAATTTGTTAACAAATGATTATGACGTTTATAAAGCTGTAGCATCAGTGCATGTAGATCCGGAGATAAAGGCGGTTGCTGTGATGTTTCTCCTGTAGGACACGGGAGCTGTGAGTGTCGGGTGTGCATCTGTGACACGAACTACACCGGGAGTGCGTGCGACTGCTCTCTGGACACCTCCACCTGCCTAGCCTCCAACAAGCAGGTCTGCAACGGCAGAGGGATGTGCGAGTGCGGGACCTGCAGGTGCACCGACCCCAAGTTCCAGGGGCCCACCTGCGAGATCTGCCCCACCTGCCCCGGGGTCTGCACCGAGCACAAGTCAGTCACACACACCACCAATGTGCGACATATCGGGCTACATGTACAAACATGCACAACACCAAAAAATATCAGGTTTCTATACAGAATACATGCTTAATACATGGTGTAAACAGCACAGCTTAACAAAATATATTTTTCACATTCAAAATGTATTTGACTGAATGCAAAATATATGTTGGATGATATAAATATTTTTGCATTAAAGACTGACACAGTAGGTCACATGGTATGTCCGAATTACATTCATACCACACACATTAATACTTTTTTAACAGTCGCGATGTAGTTTAAATGTAGCGATTGTTTGTTAACGCTCTGAAGTCAGTCGCTAGTTCCGCCTTCTCGATGACATCACGCACATCGTTAAAGACGGCTAGTGATGATTGGTCAGCAACGTGTAGTCTGACCTGTGTCTTGTCCATGACACAACAAGAATTTAGGAATCAAAATCACATAATCTGACTCAGCGACTATCGCAACACACAAAAGTATCGTGTAGTCTGAACCCGGCATAAGCAAACGGTAAAGAATGATTGTTGGTTGAACTTTAAAAAAGTGAGTATTCTGGTTGCCTTAATATTTTGACTTTATTAAAACTAAAGATTTTAGTTAATGTAAATCAACCGAAACTCAAAATATTATGTTATATGAACAACATTAGTTGATTTGACAAAAGAAAAAAGTTTTTTTTTTCTGTGTGTATATTAGTCATATATATTTGGCCATTTTTAAAATGTTTTTAAATATATTTTCAGATATGTACAGATATATAATTTAAACTTTTTTAATGTTTTTTAAAGAAGTCTCTTCTGCTCACCAAGCCTGCGTTTATTTGATCAAAAGTACAGTAAAAACAATAATATTGTGAAATTTAATTTATTCCTTCCTTTAATTCCAAATTTATTCCTTTGGTGGCAAAGCTGAAATTTCGGTACTAACTCTCCAAAACACAACGGGCAACTTTAGTGGACTTTTTGCCAGAGTTAGTACATTGTCAATATCGGCCCTGTTTCTTTGTGAGATTGTGAGCAAAGCAATGCTACATTTAAACTCTCAGTCATAAATATCTTTGGTGTGGGTAAAAGGTTTCCATCTGAACACGTTCACGGCTCTTTTCCTGTGGCAGGGAGTGTGTGCAGTGCCGGGCGTTCGGCACCGGAGAGAAGAAGGACACGTGTGAGCGAGACTGCGGCTACTTTAACCTGATCGTGGTGAAGGACCGGGATAAGCTCCCTCAGCCGGTGCAGGCCTTCCCTCTCATGCACTGTAAAGAGAGAGACGCCAACGACTGCTGGTTCTACTACACCTACGCCGTCAACAACACCGAGAAGGAGGTGCACGTGGTGGAGGCTTTAGGTGAGCTTTCACACCGCAAACATCTGCGCTTTAAGTGCCAAAAAACCCAGTCTTAATTTGTATGTGCTTTGTTTTGTTTTTGTTTTTATTTAAACATTTACTTACAGAATACAAAAGAGCCAGGAGTTCAGGGACGGCCAAATATTACATCACATTTTAACAGAGAGAGAGAGAGAGAGAGAGAGAGAGAGAGAGAGAGAGAGAGAGAGAGAGAGAGAGAGAGAGAGAGAGAGAGAGAGAGAGAGAGAGAGAGAGAGAGAGAGACAATTATCATATTTCATTCCAATAAGTCATCCAAAAATCTCCAAAAATATTAAAAATAAATTAAAACACAATCCAATCAATACAGATTACAGCCCTTTCATTACATCTTTAAAACCAACATTTCATCCTCCCCAACCTCACACAAAAAACTTCCTACCGACCACATTGCAGAAAAATCCATAATATTATTAACTAATTTGAAATAAGCAAACTCAATTTTAATACGAGCAGCCACCATCCCTTTCAGAACTCTTTCTGCATCAATTGAACCAGTTCCCAAGATCCTATTTTTCCTTGACCTCCAAATTGCCATCTTAGCTGTTTCCAAAAGGTAATTTAGCAAAACTACTTTTCTTCGATCACTGACTTTGTACTTTGGACCACTAATAAAAACTTGATATGAAAATTCCTCACCCATGCTTTCAAAACAAACTTCTAAAAAAAAAAAAAAAAAGAGAGAAAGAAAGAAAGAAAGAAAGAAAGAAAGAAAGAAAGAAAGAAAGAAAGAAAGAAAGAAAGAAAGAAAGAAAGAAAGAAAGAAAGAAAGAAAGAAAGAAAGAAAGAAAGAAAGAAAGAAGTAGAAAATGTGTATAAATAAGAAATAAATAAATGTGGAAAAATTGATTAAACAGATCACATAAATATAACAATACTCCCCACAAAATATGAAATAATAATATTAAATAAAGATTATAAAAAAAACATCAAACGGTGAGCATACATTCAAGGTTTTAGTAACCTTTTTGTTACAGGAGGTAGAAAAGGATTTAATATAGACCTTAACATCTTGAAAGTGAGAAAAATTGGGGGTCACTTTCATAGTTTTAATTTGTGGATAAAGTATTTTGCAAGCAAATTAATTAAATTGGAAAAAAAAATAAACATTTTTATATTGCTTCTCAAAAATGAAAAACTCAAACAAAAAATCCTTGAAATAAAGCTAAAATTCTTTATATATATATATATATATATAGGCCTATATATATATACACTGAACAAAATTATAAACGCAACACTTGTTTTTGCCCCCATTTTTCATGAGCTGAACTCAAAGATCTAAGACTTTTTCTATGTACACAAAAGGCCTATTTCTCTCAAATATTGTTCACAAATCTGTCTAAATCTGTGTTAGTGAGCACTTCTCCTTTGCCGAGATATCCATCCACCTCACAGGTGTGGCGTATCAAGATGCGGATTAGACAGCAGGATTATTGCACAGGTGTGCCTTAGGCTGGCCACAATAAAAGGCCACTCTAAAATGTGCAGTTTTACTGTACAGTAAAAATACCCTGTACAGTAATTTTATTGTGGCCAGCCTAAGGCACACCTGTGCAATAATCATGATGTCTAATCAGCATCTTGATGTGCCACACCTGTGAGGTGGATGGATATCTCGGCAAAGGAGAAGTGCTCACTAACACAGATTTAGACAGATTTGTGAACAATATTTGAGAGAAATAGGCCTTTTGTGTACATAGAAAAAGTCAGTTCAGCTCATGAAAAATGGGGGCAAAAACAAAAGTGTTGCATTTATAATTTTGTTCAGTGTAATTTACAATGAACTGGCAAATATCTTGCCAAAGTTTTCTTGTATGATCACAATGCCAGAAAAGATGCAAAAGAGTCTCTGGTTGTGAATCACAGAAAGTACATTTCACAGCTATACTTAAATTTCGACGCAATGAAAGTTTTAACAGGATAATACAGACGAATAAGCTTAAAATAAATCTCTTTTACCAATAGATACTTGTTAGGAATAGTCCAAACCTTCTTCCACAAAATATTTTTGTTAAAATATTTAAGTTGTTCCATCTTGAAATGACATGAGGAGTGGAAACACAATCATTAAGAAAACGAATACCTGTATTATTTTTGAATGTGTGTATGTGTTTTGTGTGTCAGAGTGTCCGGCGGGTCCTGACATCATCCCGATCGTGGCGGGTGTGGTGGCAGGGATCGTTCTGATTGGTCTAGCTCTGCTTCTGATCTGGAAACTGCTCATGATCATTCACGACCGCCGCGAGTTCGCCAAGTTTGAGAAAGAGAAGATGAACGCCAAGTGGGACACGGTATGTAAAAAAAAAAAGAAGAGTTTTAACTTTATTAAAACTGGACCGAGTGCTTCAAGTTCCTTCAAGTTTTTAATCCGCGAAATCCCCAGATTGTTTCATCAGGAGTGTGGTTGTCCTGTTTAAGAGCAGGGTTTTTAGGAAAGCTGTCCTGACTTTAAGGCAGCCGTGGAACTGCAAGGAAAGGCTTTTGGATTCTCAAGGCCTCATTGTTCTGGGTGTGTCGTGGCCAGTTGAGGTCCGTGTGGAAGACTCACTGCTGCCCTCTGCTGGCTCACCGGACATGATCACCCTGCTGAAACAGAAGTGTGCTTCAGTGAATAGAGTTTAAAAAATATATATATTTAGAAAAATCTGTACTTGCAGATAATATAATATTGAATAATGAAACAAAAGACGATTTAAAGGGATAGTTCACCCAAACATGTAAACTCTGTCAGTAATTACTCTCCCTCATGTTGTTCAACGCCGTAAGACTTTCGTTCATCTTCTGAACACAAATTAAGATATTTTTGATTAAATCTGAGAGCTGGATCACTCCTCCATAGGCTTCTTAGGGATCGAAACTGGCCGGCCCAGAAAAGTTAGTAAAGACATCGTTAAAATAGTCCGAGTGACTACAGCGGCTCAACCTTAAGTTTATCAAGCGACGAGAATACTTTTTGTGGGCAAAAAAAAATAAACAATACTTTATTCAACTATTAATTTCCTTCTCTGTGGGCCTCGAGTGAGTTCATGTAGTGTAACAGCGCAGCGCTTCTGGACGTCACACACACACACACACATGACCAGCGTTGGCCAATAGTGAGCCTACGTTTGACGTACAACCCAGAAGCGCTGCGCTGTTACACTAAGTGAACTCACTCGAGGCCCACACAGAAGAACATGAAGAGTTGAATAAAGTCGTTATTTTTGTTTGTTTTTTGCGCACAGAAAGTATTCTCGTCGCTTGATAAACTTCAGGTTGAGCCGCTGTCGTCACTCGGACTATTTTAACGATGTCTTTACTAACTTTTCTGTTCCGGCAAGTTTCAATCCCTTAGAAGCCTATGGTGGAGTGATCCAGCTCTCAGATTTAATCAAAAATATCTTAATTTGTGTTCCGAAGATGAACGAAAGTCTTACGGGGTTGAACAACATGAGGGAGAGTCATTACTGACAGAGTTTACATTTTTGGGGTGAACTATCCCTTTAAGTGAACTTAAATAGAGTACACAATAACACTTTATTTTACAGTGTCCTAGGTTTTATGCTGTTACCTCATTGCATCTTTATTTATACTTCATTCTGTTGCTGACGTCATCATTCAGTATGCATGCTTTCCTCCTTTTCCTTTCATGCTCATGAAATCTGTCCATCTCCCTATGATCGCCATCTTTTGTCCATCATTTCAGCTCTTCTGTTGCTTCATCTGTCCTTGATCTGTTATCTGTCCCTTTCCACTCTCAGACAGAGAATCCAATTTACAAGAGTCCTATTAATAAATTCAGGAACCCAAACTATGGACGTAAAGCTGTGGCTCTATAAGTTTGTATATCTCAATCCTCTTTCTGCATGTGTGTGTGTGTGTGACAGTTTCTTTACCAGATCACCATTTTTCCATAATTTCCAACCATTTTTGTATTATTTATGTGTAGTTCAGTCATGAAACTCTAGAGGGCGCAGGCTGATCGGTCCCAAGCAATCACATCATTAGCTCATGGCTCAAGCTGATTGGCTCTGCTGATCCTGCAGCCAATGAGATCGCTTGCTCAACACTTGAATGGTCTGGTTGAGTGTTGACTGTTTAATCTTGATACAAAAGTGATACAATAAGCATTGGGTAAAAATCACTAATCGACTACAGCATGAGCATTGTACGGTGTTGTGCAATATTTAATCAGAGTTTGACTTTTTCTTGATATCAATGTGTTCAGAAATGCTGTAAATAAATGTTATATAGCTGCATGTGTTGTTTTATCTGCACTTTCTTAGGGTGTAAATACATTTTGAGGTTGCACGGTACTGTATTTTTGTTTCTTATTTTTAAAGATATTATTTGTATTGCTTTCACAGGGAGAGAACCCCATCTACAAGAGCGCTGTCACAACTGTGATCAACCCCAAATATGAAGGAAAATAATGACATTGGTTTCACATGCAAGAGTGTTTTGGAAGGGATGAGTGTGCAGAATTCCTCAGTTTTCCTTTAAATGGTTTGTTTTTTCTCATTGTAATGTCATTCTTTTAGACCAGTATTGTAGCTCTGTTTAAGGAAGTAGTATTTTATAAAGAACTGGCTGCCTCTCGTCCCTTGCAAACGTGTACAGGTTGTATAGTCTTTTTATTTACACCAGTATTTCTTCTTTTTAGCCCTGCGTACATTCACACATCCTCTCTTTTCGAACAGAACAGGTCTTTGTGCCTTTGCATAAAGTGTTTAAGGGTTTCACTTTAAATTGTAGTGTAAAGGAACCCTTTTCCCAAAAGATTGCAAAATAACATGCTATTTTAAAATATCATATGATTTTTTTGTTTATATTCTATCTGCATTCAAACTGCTTCATCGCTGATGCTGTCAGTCATATGTTTGGCATAAGAAAACTATGTGACCAGTGTATAAGTGATTTTATTTTGGGGGTTGATAAAAGTTTGGTTTAATATGCTGATAATCTATGCATATTCATTTACTTTCAGACACATCATGCATTTCATGCCTTTGTTTTAAGAAAGTGAAAACAGTTATTTCCCATGTATTCTTGCTCATTATGGCACGTGTTTTGTGGTCAGCTGCAAATGTGTATGTCATGTGTTATGAAGGATTATATGTTGAACTATTATGTGGCTCTTGACGAGTATCAGTGTATTCAGGTGAAATCCTGTAGTTTGTAGTCAATCGGTGTAGAAAGCCAAATGTCCTTAAAGGGATACTCCACCAGTTTTTCTTATTTAACTATATATTCTCATATATATTATGAGATATCTTATCTCATTTCCGTCAATACAACCAACGTGACTTTTACTACCTGTGCTGTGCTATTAGCAAACTGCAGATCATTTGCAATGGCGGACTTTGTAGATGATTATGACTTTTTTGTAGAAGACCCAGAGCCATATCTGTTTGAACCCGAGTACACAGAGGAGGAATTAGCTCTTATGGACCGTGAGAGGGAAAGATATGATCCAGAACAGACCGGAGCTTTCCCGAAAGCAGCTAACCAAGCTCTCCGCTGTATGTGGTGTGTTGGAATTCGGTGAAAAATGACAGCACTATGTACATTCTCCTTATTTTCACAACCCTTTACGATGCACGTTTTAACCATGATTGTATACAAACTAGCTTCCAACAACCTGTTACTTCGTCAACTCCGCTCAAACTACTACTACCGGCGCATGTCACGTTGGTTGTATTGACGGAAATGAGAGGGAGGGGGAGAGGAAGCGGGAGCCGGGACTTTTCACGAGTGAAGATATTATTGCGCCAAGTCGAAGTGCTCAAAAGCACTTGTTATGGTATTCCGCCATACAATATAGTCATCAATTTTAAACGCTTAGAAAAGCGCAACGGTTTATTTTGTGTCACCAGCCCAGGTCAAGTTACACTACTCGAGTAACTGTGTTTACATAGGGAAAACGTGGAAGTGTTTGCTCGCTTCTCTGCTTGGCCCATATTTAATGCATGGGCTAAGCTAAGTGCTAACATAGTTTTGCGGCAATACAGAGCGATATAGTGCACGCACTGAGACGAGAGAGGTATGTATCAACTCGTCTTAGTTAAGGGAATAACATAGTTTAATAAGAAAAACTGGTGGAGTATCCCTTTAAACGCTCATTACAAATGAGCATAATTATTGGTACCTACAAATGAAATTTTAAATGTTTTCAGATAGTATATTTAAAATAAAAAATGGAAGTTGTAATTCACACATTTGAAATCAGAGATAAAGCTCTTTGCTACAAAAAAAAAAACATTTTGGAGAGTTATGTGGAGAAAATTAAGAATTAGAGTGTATAGTTTTTTTTTTTTTCTAAAGTTCATATATGCTCAAAGGTACAACAACCCTGTATTTTTACTTATTTTATTTGGACATAATAAGCAGACTCAGTCATTTTAAACTATTGTAATGCTTGACAATATAATAAATATCAAGCTGAAGGATGATAACCTGCCGCAACACCCAATGTAGCTTGTTTTTTAAGTGCCTTTTTTCTGGTTTTCTCAATATTGCAATTTTGAATTTATTTATTAAAACAAAATCTAAATGATTGTGATCTTGTCTTTCTTTCAAAGTGGTAAACGCATTTTTAGCATTATTTAGGGTCACTGATATGCGCTTATAACAATACTATCAATAATCATATTCTTGATGTCTAAATAAACCCTTATATTTATGAAAAAATATAGACCTTAAAACATCACTTCACTGCTATTATGTTTATTATTATTATTATTATTATGTTAGTTTATTCTCAAATACAGTATAACTTCAGAATATAGCCTAAAGGTGATGATACACAGGGCAACTTTTTGATCAATGTTGTTGGGCAATGTGGCCGTCAAAGGGCAACCAGATGAGACACAGGGCCCACGAACGACCTAAATTATCCAGATAGAAATGTATTACCCATTTTTAATGGGAAAAAGCCCAAGCGACAATCGCTCGGCAAGATTGCCCAGCAACATTGCTCAAATAGTTGCCCTGTGTATCATCACCTTAATACTACCATAGCCAGGGCCGGATTAACCATTAGGGCAACTGGGCACTTGCCCAGGGGCCCACGACATCTAGGGGCCCTGGGCACCAGGGGCGGAGTGGCAATCGGGAGAGTCGGGAGTTGGGCCGGTAGTGTTTCGAGGCCGCGAGGGCCGGTCTGATAAAATGTATTCATTGCAAGTTCGCCATGCGCACTTGTGGCCAAAGCGAGGGGAAGAAAAAAAATATTTTAGATAACGGAGCGTATATTTGCACTAAGTGCCTGTCTTTTTAGCAAAAAGACGCTCGTCACGGAATAGCTACAGTGGCGTGGGTCGTAACGCGGGAAGTGCTAGAAAGACATTGTGCCCAGGGGCCTCTGAACTCTTAATCCGGCCCTGACCATAGCCTACTATCCTGTTTTTGCAGTATGCAAACTGAGCTTAGGATGTAAATTGTAAAATTGCATAGAATAGCAAGATGATCTACAAAATGCAACAAAACTACTCTGTAAATAAAACTACTCTCCACATGATCTCAACTTTGTCTCCCGTGTGATGATGGTGAGGATTGTCATGCGTCGGGTCAAAGGTCACTTTTCCACCGGAACTAGACTCGCGTACGCCCGTTACCGGAAGCCAATGATTATAGCTCAAAAAGTTATAAATATGGATATTTTTCTTACAATAACGCAACGTTTCGATTCAGAAGTCCTTTATTAACCCCCTGTGTCCATGTGGATTACTTTAATAATAGATAGATGAGCTGTTTTGGGCTTCACAGAAATTTTACTATTCACTCCCATTAGCTTGAAAGAGGAAGATATTTTTTTATATATGTAACTTCGATTGTGTTCGGCTGAAAGAAGAAAGTCATATACACCTGGCTCGAGGGTGAGTAAATTATGGTATGATTTTCATTTTTGGCTCATTGGCTGAACTAACTCTTTAAGTGCAGATGTTAACCAACAGAGGGCAGCAGCAGATTAAAAATACAGTTTCTTACAAAAGCGATTGTCAACTAAATATCTAAATAAAGTGCGTATATTGTTAAGTGAACAAAATACATTTTGCTAACAGACACATATGTGTATTTATTTGTTGATAATCAAGTGCATTCGTAGAGAGAAAGAAAAATAAAGAGTCCTTTCTCCTAGAAACAACACGAGACAGTAGACAGTTTTACCACATCGACTCGGATAGCTCTGGGCTTATTGTACCACAGATTCATTCATTTACACGAGTCTAGACTATGGCCACTGACAGCTAACGTCCACAACACACTGACAAGGGTACGTTTGTTCTACTAATTTACAGATGATGGTTTATCATTTACAGATTACCCTGGAAACAACACGCCATCGCATTTATGCTTTACAATAGAGACAGCCTCTTACGAATCATCCTAATCTTTAATGAACACGCACTTGCATACGGAATATGTGTTGTACTACGTTATGTCCACATTCAGCAAGTTACATACTTGTTTGTTCTTTCTTACCCATCCAAGCAAATGAAAATGAAGTTATTGCAGTTCAGCTCACGCCTCAAATGACTCAGAGTGCAACAACAACCACATATTTACCATCCATCTCGCTGAGTAATTCATTTCATCTGAGCTATTTCATGCTCCATTGTTTGTATAGTCATGATTCATGCACTAACAATTGAAATAAGTTATGATTATGGTTATCATGAGGGTAATGCACATGTGACTCAGCTGTTGATGGACTAAGGAATCATTTTTGTTGAAGAGGGAAAAATCCAAGAGTGTGAATCTCCTAAAGGTGTATCAAATATAGGTCATATCTCAAAAGAAGTGATATAAGACGCCTTCACCTTCCTGGCTAGAAGTGGTTATCTTCCCATATCTTACTATCCACACCGGATTTGTTTGCATAGTGTGTTACAGGTCAGTCTGTACACTTTGTCACTGTGCTGTTCATTCCCAATTGTTCAAAGATAGCCTACAACAAATTACAGAAAACATTTCATTTTAAATAAGTAGCCCTTTATTGAGTGTTTTTAGCAGCTTTCAGAAAATGAAACCTTTACAAATCTCTTTTAATCCTTGACTAATGCTATCAAATAAAAGACTTAAAGACTTTTAGATCTTGAGACATTGTTCTGTCATTAATGCCCTTTAAAGTGCAAATGCCCGTATTTTCCCTAGTTTTATTGAACCAAGATGGTCTCTTGAACTCAGATATCGATTTTCTGAAGGAGTCTGGGACAATTTTATATTACAATGACAGTTCACCTTTATTTCTTCTGTGGAAGAACCTATGGAAGCTTGTTTTTGCCACAGAATAAAACAATTTAAAATATAATTGCGACATTTTATATCACAATTGTGACTTCATATGATGCAATTCTGACTATTACACACAATTACTACTTTATATCACACAATTCCGACTTTAACACACAATTGCGACTTTATATCACGCAATTCTGAGATTCTGAGATAAAAAGTCAGAATTGTAAGATGTAAACTTGCAATTGTGAGAGGAAAAAAAAAGTCAGAATTGTGAGACAAAAAGTCGCAATTACCTTTTTTATTTTTTATTCTGTGGCGGAAACAAGTTCATAGCAACCAATATATAATTTAAAGTTGTAATGTTTTGAATTTAACCATGTACAATGTACAGACTCTAGACATAGACAACCAGCTAAAGAGCTTTTGTAGAAATCAAAACATAAATCAACCCAAACAAATATCATTCATGAAAACACCAGCTTACCGTTGTACAGTGACATTAATGTCTTTCAATCTCTTTCATGTGATAAATATTATGATAGGCTATATATCATGTAGTTCTTTAATTGGCAAGAACATGGTACAGCTCTGTAAGAAGCAACAGGACTCGCCAGATGTGTCTCAAAACCTCAAAAAGGAACTGCCTTTGAATGTCAAAATTGTCAGTCTAATCTAATCTTCACAACACATAACTGTTACTGATGTTGTTGCCTATGAAGGCCATTTCAAATCAGTTTCAAGCTTGCGCTTAAGATGTTATTTATGTAGACCAGACGAGCCCAATCCTGTTCCTTTTGCAGAGTTCAGATCCAACCCTGATCCAACAATAAGTGCTTCTAATTAGCTGGTTCAGTCAAGTTTGATCTGAACTCTGCAGGAAAGTAGATCTCCAGGTACAGGATTGGGCACCTGATGTAGACCGTTAATGTCAAAACTACTTTTGGAGGGCCTCCATCCTGCAAGTTTTTTTCCAACCTGCTCCAACACGCTTGGCCAGAAGTTCCTAGTAATCCTGGAGTGCTTTATTAGCTGCTAGAGGTGTGTTTAATTAGGGTTTCAGCTAAACTCCAGAAGCGGGATTTGACATCTCTGATACCCCTTTTCCACCAAAGCATTTTGAGAGCCGGTTCGGAGCCGGTGCCTACTCGAGAACCAGTTCTTTGTGTTTCGACAGCCAAAGAACTGGTTCTCGGCCAGGAAAATTGGTTCCAAAGCGGCACCAACTTTTTGCTGGACTAGAACCGTTCTTTTACCACGTCATGCTTACGTTGGGGGCTGGGGGCGGGGTTATTGTGACCAACAACATGACGGGAATGGGAAAGCTAAGACGTATGGCGACGTACACAGTGACGTAACGACGTCGTTCGCTGGGCTCTCTAGTCAGTGGAAAAACAAACAGGTTCTGAGAAGGTTCGCAAGTTGAAGCAACTTTGAACCAGCACCAGTTCCGAACCAGTTCTTTTTTGGTGGAAACGAGTTGCTCCAGAATTCCAGTAGACAGCAAGTCAACTCAATGGGAGTGAAAAGCTATTTTTTTCTTAAGGGGACCCGTTGTACCCTGTTGGTGAAACACTGCTGTAGACATCGAATCGACTCACTAGGTCAAGGCTGTCCAATCCTGCTCCTGGAAGGGCGACTGTTCAGCAAGTTTTATCTTCAACTTTAATTAAACACTCCTGAACCAGCCAATCAAGATCTTGAAGCTGCTGGGGTGTGTTTCCCGTACAACGCTGTAACTCGCTGCTTCACTATCATAGTACGATACATCGTTGAAGAAATCAACTAGCTAGTCACGACTGTTTCCCGAAACCTTATTGTCGCAAAGTGGTCGTTCAACCACGTTGGTTAATGATGTCACGAAGGTGGTGGAGTAATGACTACTTTTAATGAAACTGTTTGAGATCGGATTAACGCTAGATGTTTTGATATAACTTACGGACATGGCATCTGAGGAATATTTCTGTTATTCTGCTTTATTTCCAGATTTAATCATAGGCTCGTTCTTGCGCACTAGTGCACGTTCACACATGCGCACTCTCCAAAAACGGTGCTTTAAATCTCTTAACAAACTAAAAGACGTAAATTACATTTTTATGTATTCTAAATAAAAGATATAGATTGTACTGAATGTTAGCTTGCTTATTTTGCTCAAGATAAGGATTTATTAAAGGGTTAGTTCACCCAAAAATGAAAATTCTGTCAGTAATTACTCACCCTCATGTTGTTCCAACCCCGTAAGACTTTCGTTCATCTTCGGAACACAAATTAAGATATTTTTGATGAAATCTGAGAGCTGGATCACTCCTCCATAGGCTTCTTAAGGGACTGAAACTGGCCGGCCCAAAAGTTATGATAGACATCGTTAAAATAGTCCGAGTGACTACAGTGGCTCAATCTTAAGTTTATCAAGCGACGAGAATACTTTTTGTGCGCAAAAAACAAACAAAAAGAACGACTTTATTCAACTACTCTGTAAGGCCGTGATATTTCACGTAGTGAAACTACGCAAAGCTTCTAGGTTGTACGTCACGCATCACACACATAACCAGCGTCGGCCAATAGTGAGCCTACGTGTGACGTACGACCTAGAAGCTTTGCGTAGTTTGCGATGCTGAGTGACAACTCTGCGATGCTGTTTGCGAATGTTCGTTGGAATGATGGTTTCGGGAAACACAGACTCGTTGAACTGCTGATAACGACGAAACTTTGGAACATAGTTGGCTAACGATGCTTTTGGGAAACGCACCCCAGGCCGGTGGCCCTCCAAGAGCAGGATTAAGCACAAGGTTTTGAGACACATCCGCCATGTTGCACCTTTTCAGGCAGTCGTAGGAATACAGAAAGTATAAACATCTGTTTTTCAGAGGTCGACACCCCTGTCCCCTCAGTAGAAAGCAGGTATGGTGTGCTCGATCACACAGCGTCTGCAGTGCTGTCGGACGAGTCGAAGCGCCTCAGGTGGCACATCACACTCCTGTACGTTTAGTAGCTGTAGCTCGGGGCATCCCGCCGCTAGCGCCATTAGCCCTCTCCCCGTCAAACTCTCACAGCCCCTCAGACTGAGCCTTCGTAGGCCTTCACAACCGCGTGCTAATGCTTCTAACCCAGCGTCCGACACCAGCGGGCAGCGACCGACATCGATAGAGCGCAATCGGGGGCAGTTGCGAGCTAAATGGCTCAAACCCTGGTCCGTTAGCCCCTCGCAGCCCCGTGCATTCAGGTAGCGTAGCCGCGGACAGTAGCGTGCTACATAACGCAATCCAACGTCTGTTATGCGCATACAATGTGCTACGCTCAGATAGCGTAGGCGTCCCTCGAGACGAGCGACCTCACGCAAGCCGAAGTCTCCCACCAGATGGCAGTCGCTGAGGCTAAGCTCGCGTAAAGAGGAGCAGCGCAGTGCTAGCTGTCTCAGAGACTCGTCTGTTAGGCGGCTGCAGCGACGCAGGTAAAGGTGTGTGAGATGCGGACAGTGAAATGCGATGGTCCTCAAGCCTTCATCCTCCAGTGAGACACAGTCCGTCATGTCCAGGTGTCTCAGGCCGATCTGCTGTCCGTGAAGAGGAGTGAGCTGGAGGCACGTCTCCTCTGTCAGGCTGATGCACGTCACTTTAGGGCAGCCTGAGGGGAAGGCAGGGAATATTATCGTTATTATAGTTTATGAATAGAAAAGTAAAGTTCATCAAGACAAACTTTAAATATCTGGATGTTAAAGGGGAACTTGGCAACTCTAGCCATTTATTCGCTGATTTTCACTTTTGTTTTCGCATGTTTTCTCATCAGCTCCCCCTACAGCGGTTAGCCGTATATTTCACAACACTGTCGTAAAAAAAAAACTCACTTGCGGCACCCTCCTCCCCCTTTCTACCACTGCTCATGTGCATTTGTTATTATCGGAGCCGGACAACTTTATCGTGTGGAGCTATGTCTACAGAGGTGGGTAATACATCATACACATTGAGGGGGGCGTGTGTGTTTATGTCGAATTGCCATAAAGCAGTTTGTGTTTCTCGCTCGGTCTCGTTCTTCCCCATGTTGCAAGGTTGGTTTTCCGCCTGGTAACGTTGAGGGAAGCGGGGAAAGTCACAATTTTCACAGGAACAGGTTATTAAAACAACCAAATGATTTCTAAACCGTTTTATTAAAGGTGCTATATGTATTTTTTAGCGGCCTCTATCGGTGATGTTTCAGATCGCAACCAATTTTTACAAGAGCGCTCGTGGCGTGCTCTTGCGCGTGCTCGAACACAAGAGCGATCACTCATGGTACAAGGCCACACTGAGACTTTCAACACACCGGAGAAAGCATCACACAACATGCTGGAAACTCATGTAACTTTACAATAATAGGCTACTTTTATCAGCTTGTCGTTGAACTAATGCTCCATGCTCGTACCATGATAACGTTACATTGACTGCATTTAGCCGACATGTGGTGTTATCTAGCATAAGGCATTTCACTAACTATTCGTGTATCTTTCACAATCAGCAATGTCAACATAGATGAATGTATAATATGATAACGAAAACGGTTAGTAAACTAGACTGAACAATTTCAGTGTAACAGTGAGATCGTAGGAAGTAACATTACTGTACTGAACGTGTCTGGAAATGTGTATTATAAACAATATGATAGTAGTGGGATGAGTGACATTAGACAGTAGATCTAGTACATAAAATAAAAGTTACATCCTAAAGCACCTACTTTTTGATATCCTGGAACTTTTGTATTCATTTCATGTCTCATATATGTTGTAGTTTACCTTGCTATTTCATTACGGTTTACCATTATTTATTTCAGCATATCTGAAAACTTGTCATTTATCACAATAAAAGCCGATCCGATTCACGTTTGGCCTGACGAGCTTCAGCAGATACATTTTTGTTTTGTTTTTTACATTTATGTGGAGTTTGTGTTGGAGTGTGTGTTGTGCTGGAGGCAGGAGTGTTTGGTGTTATCAGACTCCATGTCGTTCGCTGCAGTGCCGTCACATAGACTGTATATAAAGGAGAGAGGCTCGGGAGCGCGCATGCACGTCACATCCGATGGATTTCGCAGAAAATCCGACCCGGAGACTTCACATAGAAATAGGAATACTGGCCTTCAGAGGTAATGGCAAAACCAGACAAGTGGATCATTGTAATGCGTGATTACAACCCCTTCACACACAGGCAATAAAAAAAGGATTCATTTTAGAAGAAAAGTTACATAGAGCACCTTTAAGTTGAAATAGTTGCCAAGTTCCCCTTTAAGACTAGCATTTCACATCACAGATTGAAAGGGTGCTAATATACAATCACTAGTACTAGAGACAGGCTCCAAAAGAGAGTCAATCCCATAGACCCCCATGTTAATATGCCCAACTTTACAGCAGGAAAAAAATGTTTATTGTTTACAGACTGGAACAAAAAGTGGTTTTGGTCTATATAGCTAATTTTGCCCATCATTACAACTGTGAGGGGGGTGAATTTTTTTATAACTCATCCGTTTTAATTATATTAAGCCTTGAAGTTGTGCATAATTAAGGGCGTGGCCACTAGAGTGACAGGTGGATTGCCGCTGCTGTCACTACTAGCGTTTGTCTGCTAGCGTTAGCGTCACGTCACGTCAGCTAATCCGCCTCTTTACCCATTTTCGTTTATCCGGGGGTGACGCACGGCCAAGATGGCGACGGCCGGCTCCGCCCACTTTGGGCTTCGAAAACGAAGTAGTTATAGTAGTTATTTGCCATTTGCTAGAGATTTCTTGGCAGCTGCTAATGTTTTGCTAGAGTGAGTTAGTTATTATGGTAAATGAATACAAATTATAGCAATGGCTTATGATATAAGCTATGTTTTATCCCTTTAACTATTCTAACCTTTTTAGACAGGGGGACATTAGTCTTATTTTAACTTCCTGTCTAATATAAAAAACAGGCAATTTCTTGTTATTAAATATGTCCTTAAATGTATGTATGAGCATCAGTTTCAGTTGTTTTGATCCTATTCCTGCACTGGAACTGCTAAGAGCATTAAGCAACAGGAAAATAGTCAACGTGAAATTTCTTTACAATTCTGAAATTTAAAATCTACATCAGGTTTTCAGATCGAGGTGAATAAATGAAATAGAGTGAGAATAAAGGCCAGAGAAAATAATAGAGAAATAAAATCCAGAAACCTCATATGGAACCAAAACAAGGTAGTATCTGTTTTTGCTCCTATTGCAGTTATACTACCTGCTTTTAAAAGTAAATGTAACCACAAGAAATTTGGGATACTTTTTGCAACAAAGGGCGTATTACTTGTGGATAGCAGAACGCATGCTGTGCCCTCTGCATGATGAATAACTGTGTGGGACTCGTACAATGAACTCAGCAGACGGACTCTTACACTTTGGTTGAGGTTAGCAGTCCATCTTTCAAACCGAGCAGACCTCACCTTCCCCCAGAGAAAGACTGGGAGACTGGCAGTGATTCCTAGATCCCATAATCTTTTCCCCAGCCTTCCCAGAAAAACATCACCACTATGAATTACTCCCTGAATAAATCCACAACCAAACATGCTATTCCGATGCATAATGTCGGCTAATCCATCACAAAAGCTCTTAAAAATAATCAAGACTTGTTTTACTTGTTGACCAGGTCTCACGCATAATGGATGTGCCACACAAATTAAAGTTTGCAGCCCACCTGTGGCACTTAGCGTTACATTTACCTCAAGAAAGCTATTCAATGTCCATAAACTCATTAGTAAGCTAGAAAAAATTTATAACTTAGGAGAATAGCATTTGTATAAATATATGCATTGTAGTACATTTTCATTATATTTTTTAGGGATGCACCGATATGACATTTTTGGCCGTTTAATAATATTTTTAATATTTTAAGGCTGATAACCGATTGGCCGATAAATCTAAATTCAGATTTTTATATAATTTTTGAGAGCCTGATTACAAAAACAAAAGTCTCACCATTAAAAGCCATGTCCCAAACACACAACTATAATTAATTTTATAATATTATAATTGTATGTAGCCTATATGACAGACTTGTGCTGCACATGTTGCACTGAACTGTATTTTCCTTTTTGAAGTTATTTCAGTCATATTTCAAGCAATTCAAAACCATCATGTTGAACAGTGCTGAAGATCTGAAGCGTCTCAGCTGAGGGAAATAATCCATCATTTATCGGCTTTAATATATCGGCCAAAGTTTCTTATCGGGCCGATAACGATAACATTAAAGCTGAACATATATCAGCCGATACCGAAATGGTGGCCTATATATTGTGCATCCCTAATATTTTTACTTAACCTGTTAGTGATGTTTTTATTATTTAATGTATGTTTGAAAAAATTTTTATTGTCACCAACAATCTATTTACCTACAAACTATTTCACTAAACTAAACAATTCTGTTATTAAAAAGTTGATATAAAAACTGCCTTCAATTTAAATGTTTGTACACACACACACACAGAGACAGCATGATTATTGCACAGGTGTGCCTTAGGCTGGCCAAAATAAAAGGCCACTGTGAAATGTGCAGTTTTACTGTATTGGGGGGGGTCCGTATTGGGGTTTTACTGTATTGGGGGGGTCCGTATTGGGGTTTTACTGTATTGGGGGGCTCGACGTCCTTGCGAGCGACCTCCAACAACATGGAGTTGCTGTGGAGGATGCAGAGCAGCTGGCACAAGACCGTCAGCACTGGAAACAACTGGTTCATCTGGTCGGCTCAACGCACAGGGATGGGACACCCCCCCACCCATCGCAGGAGCCAAAATGAAAAAAAAAAATGAAAAAAAAATGGGGGGGTCCGGGGGGTTATGGTAGAGAAATTAACATTCAATTCACGGGCAACAGCTCTGGTGGACATTCCTGCAGTCAGCATGCCAATTGCACGCTCCCTCAAAAATTGCAACATTTGTGACATTGTGCTGTGTGATAAAACTGGCCTTTAATTGTGGCCAGCCCTAAGGCACACCTGTGCAATAATCCTGCTGTCTAATCAGCATCTTGATATGCCACACCTGTGAGGAGGATGGATGATCTCGGCAAAGCATAAGTGCTCACTAACACAGATTTAGACAGATTTGTAAACAATATTTGAGAGAAATAGGCCTTTTGTGTACATAGAAAAAGTCTTAGATCGTTGAGTTTCGTTTATGAAAAAGGGGGGCAAAAACAAAAGTGTTGTGTTTATAATTTTGTACGATGTGTATATATGTCTATATATATCTCAACACTTTTTACAAAGTAATAAGAAATTGAAATACTGAAGGTGGGGGTTTAATTGTTTAATCATAATAAATTGTGAAATTGTAAAATCACAATGTAGAAATGTTTCTAAAATCGCCTTCATTCTCTTTTAAAATGTAATTTCTCATTTTCTCTTTTAAATTGGAGTAAATATTTATTTTATCACATGTTCTTGACAGGTTTCATGAGATTCACCCAATGGCATCAACAATTGAATTTTTTGCCAATTTTACCTGATACGTCTAAATACTCCAGATTGGGACACTTGGACACCACATCAAACACGGCATGATTGGACACATTATAGCAGCCTGCGACCTCCAAACACCTCAGTTCGGGACAGCACCGGGCCATCACACGCAGCCCGCGGTCCGACAGCCTCCGACAGCCACTGGCCACCACCGTCTCCAGCGTCAGACACACGCTGGGAGTGTCCTGACACAACCGATGGGTGAGCACCTTCAGGGCCCGGTCCGCGTTCAGCAACTCTCCGGTCAAACGAATGCGACTCCAGAGCCGTGGGTCCCAGGACAGGTTATACCAGCGGCGACACACTCGAGCGCAGCGGCACAGATGAGGAGTGGACAGGTAAGACAAGACGTGGAGTAAAACAGGGTCGGGAAGGATGTCAATGAGGGCGGTGTGAGGGGCCTTTGAAGGCCGTGAGCGAGTGCCTGGAGGCGGGTGAACCATGGCCACAGTTTCCCCCGGGACGGGAAATGAGGTGGAGGACGTTTCATGGCCGTTTGGGACTGTTTGAGGGGAGACACGGGAAGGGTTTGGGTTCAGAATGAGGGCCGGACTGGGAGTACTAAGCGTCCTCATGCTAAGGTCTGAATCTGGAACAGAAGAGAGAGATACATAGAATTACCCAAAGGAAAGAAAAAACAACTAACACTTTACAATAAGGTTCATTAGTTAATTACCTTAGTAATGAACAATACTTCCACAGCATTTATTAATCTTAGTTGATGTAAATTTAAACATTTACTTACATTATTAAAATCAAAGGTTGTATTTGTTAACATTAGTTAATGCACTGTGAACTAACATGAACACACAATGAACAGCTGTGTTTATTATTAACTAACATTAACAAAGATTAATACTGTAACAAATTTATTGCCCATTGTTAGTTCATGTTAGTAAATACATTAACTAATGTTAACTAATGAACCTTATTGTAAAGTGATACCATAACAACATTACATCCCTTTATCTCAATTATATCAACTAGACATCAATGAGATTAAATGGAGAGGCCATACACCTTTATGCAAAGCAGCTTTACTGCAATAAACAGGAATTTAAAAGAATCAATGACGCAAAAAATCAAATATGAGACTAATTCAAATTCTGCTGTAAAGCAGCTCTAACAAGACTATGTCATTCAGATCAATTCAATGTTGATTCAGTTCAAGTTCATCAATTATGAATTAATGTTCAATTCAGCCATAAGCAGGTCTACAGAAGACAATAGTCTCGTTATTCAGCTTGAGTCGGTTCGATGTTGATTCAGATGAGTTCAATAACAGTGAATTTAAAATAAGAGTTAATTATGAAACAAATTTGATTCAGCAGCTCTAAAGAAAATGCATCATTATCAGTTCAAGTTTTGTTCTCATTCAATAGAGTCAGAGCAGTCAAATCGATGATATTACTGAATATTAAGCGTCTTTTAAACTAAAGCAAGCAAGAGGCGGCAGTGGCAAGACAATCCATCAGGCCACAGAAATAAAGGAGAAACCAGCTTAGTTTTTAAAATAAAATGTGAATGTGATTTACTATAATAGGAAAAGCAAACCTGATTCCCATTCGGAGAGAATCTGATATCACATTAAACATCAAGAAGCACGAAGGACCTCAAATATGGAAGCCATCAGTTGTTTTAAGAAACACGTTTAGCACAAATGGTGTTAACTCATCCGCCGCTCTTGGGCTCTTTGTTCTCAAAACTGCAGAGATGTGTTTCTGATATCTTGTTATTGGACGCTGATAAAAGTGTCAAGTTTATCTCAAATGCACTTGAAGTGCTTGCCATGGTTGAGACTCCATTAATGGTGAAGCTTTCATTCTTCGCAGATGGTTCACTGATTTAGATAAATAAGTATAGGTGGTACAGTAGATCGTTTCTCTGCTAGATCTCATCAAAACAGTGGCTTGCCCCTATAAGACTCCTTTCCTTTGTGTTTTCTATTTGACACATGCTGGCTCGTAACTACCTAAAATGTTTAAACTTTTAAAATTGGTTTTAGTAGCTTGACCAAGCAAGACACTACCAACACCAAGGTTTGATTCCTAAGAAACGCATAGAGTGAATGTGCTGCAAGAATCTGCAAGATTTGACATATCCCACAATGAATGTAACCTTCCATTTCCAAAGCTATATCAACCACAACTTCTTAACTTGGATTGACAAGAATTCAGGTTGTTTTAGACCAAATGAAACCATACACTTTCAATTTACAAAATGATACGTTTTTACTTTTAAGTTGCTAAAAATGATCATTGTTTGGCAAATTTTCATGATAAAATCCAATCATTTCTATAGGGCTTTACATGATTGAGAATTAACGTTAGTGACAAAATATTTACCCACGCAGACTTTGCAAGTTGTTTTATTCCACATGGTTTTGAAGAAAGCAATTATACGTATAGAAAATATATTACATCAGTTGTTAAACCCAAAAAATCATAAAAAAATCGCAAATGACTTTAATGCCAATTTTTCTCTATAGGTCATTGTGGTGATAAACAGTTTTACTCTCTAGATTTCTGTTTAGGAAACGGGTTCATAAGCCAGTCATAAACTGAAAGATAATGAGGAGAAATATTAAGGGGAAAAACAGTTTATAATAAGCTCTTGTCTTCCCTTCCTCTCTATTTCATGTCCTTGTCAAGCCTCCTCCACAAAAATGAGCGCAAAGGAACGAGAGCAAAACATTTCCAAAGTCTGTTGGATTCATGGATTCCCATCCCTAAGCTCTCGATTAATAGCTCTTTGCTAAGCTTCACAATGGTCCTGCTGAGGAAGTGAGGGTTTATGTGCAACGATGCTTTCTGTACAGGAAATTTTCTTTAGTAAGGAACTTGGGCGGCTCAGATGCCAATGACATGATGGATAAGCTTAGGCAGAATTTTCCTCTGCAAGCCACTTTTTGCATGCAGGATTGCATTTAAAAACGCTACATTAACAGTCTTCGGTGTATATTTTTCATTCCAGATGAAGCACGGGAAGAATAATTTAATATACACTATGTGGCCGCAAGTATGTGGACAACCCCTTCTTAATTTACAGGTTTGGCTATTTCAGCTACACCGATTACCAACAGGTGCATAAAATCAAGCAAAGAGCCACACAATCTCCTTACACAAACATTTACCAAAATCAGTGACTATCAATGCAGGAAGCCACCAGAAAAATGGTTTACTTTACAAAATAGCAGCAACAGAAATATGATGAAAGAAACTAGTGTTCAAATATACCTCAAAGCAGCCATTCTTGGGGTTCAAGCATTTTAAGGCCTTTAAGCACATTCGTATGAAGGTATTATGTTTAAATTAGCAAGCACGTAACCAATTAGATCATAGATGGAAAAGACGATTTACAGCCAATACGGGCAATTTACTAGGAAATATAGTAGTTTTAAAGCTTTTTAATAGTTATAAAGGTTTTCGTGAAAGTTGGTTTTTGGAATAATCTCCAATGTTTAACGAACAAAGTTGCTCAGACTGAGGAGCTCTACCATGTGGTATGAATGTCTCGCCAATGCGCGAAAAATCGAGTGATATACAATCCATTACGCACGTGAAAAACACGAAGGCGCCCCCCAAGGTGACAGGTTATTTATGTTTTTCAAACAGGCCCAGCGAGTTTCGTTCTGGGATGCGTTTCCCGAAAGCATCGTTAGCCAACTATGGTCGCAAGTTCCGTCGTTACCAATAGAGTTCAATGGAAATTGCGACCATCTTGCGACCATAGTTGGCTAACGATGCTTTCGGGAAACGCACCCCTGATTGGCCTCCGTTAAAGGGATACTTCACCTCTGGAAAGATTAATGTGTATTTAAAATGGGTCAGTTATGTAGAAGAAATGTGAAATTATTTTTGAATTTGGAGCTTTCTAGACTGAGAATAGCCAGAAAATGTATTTTTGGCTTATGTGGATGAAAGACAACAACTCCCAGAATGCACTTGCTTCGGTGCCCTAGGAGGCCACGCCTACCAGTAACAGAGCGCAGTAGTTAAACAACAAGTCTAGGCTACTAGTGAGTCTCCGTGATGAGTGTGCCCAGGATTTCGAGATCGCCCAAAATGGATTCGGCTTTTGCGTTCTACAGTCGTCATTCATCATGTTTACTGTGGCGAGCAGGACGAGGCCGGTGGCGTGATTACCGATGAGCGACACCTGTGAGACGCACCGGTCTCGTATCTCTCACGGAGGAGCGGGAATTTTCTTAGCATTTCAATGTTATTTCAATGTTAAAACGCACATCAACCGATCACTTGTTTAGCGTTCATTTAAACACTACATTCAGATTCACCAATCGGAATGAATTCAGTTAGATTGAAACAAAAGGTGTGCATGTAAACAATGCATGGCGACTGCAGAAAGCAAAAGCTGAATCCCGGACATTTTGTACGATCTCGGCAGCCGTGAAAAAGAGGATGAATGGTAACCCCTACTACTCCGCTTTCTCCACAGAACAAGAGCCTGCTAGCTTAGCTTCCAGAAAAAGATGTCCGACACTGTGTGTACATTCTGTGAGTGAGATCCCAGCCTCTATGGGCGGGTTGAGGACATGCGGGACAGCCCCTACTACTGACTGTAGTCTTTAGGCCCAAAAAAATTTTCCAGACAAAAAATACATAAATCTCTCATCTCAGGGGGATATGAGGGTGGAAAGCACGGTAATTTGAAAATACTACAGGTTTTCTACTAATACAAAGCTTAATGCTAAATCCTTAAGTATCCCTTTAACCTTGTCTGACAGCCGCTCGAACGTCATTGGACAACGGGGGCCGTGTTTTCGAAATACGTGAATGTCCTCGTAGATAATCATGGCACCGCCAGTTTTCAACGCAATCGGACTGACTGTTGCGTATAATTATTATTTTTTTTATAGCGCCACCAAGTGGCCAGTCATGGCGTCCTTTTTTACACGACCACAGACCGAGCCCATACATAGGTATACGAGTTTGGTGAAATTATCTCATTGCATTTAAGAGGACTAGCTGTTTTTGTAAAAGTGTCCACGGCCGAACGTTTTGGTCCCGCAATCAAAATTTCGATATTTTTTGGATAATTATTGACACTCAGATCTTTCTGCACTGGTTTGGTTCTGATCGGGTGAAAAACCTAGAACTAATAAATCGACAATTCCCGAAAATGTATGAGCCATTGCATACTTTTGACCGCTGTAGCGCCACCATCAGGCCGATCGGGGCGAGCATTGGTGGCATTGTAGACGGTGTGAGTACTACCATCTCTCAAAGTTTCAAGTCTCTACGACTTACGGTTTGGTCTTAATCACTTTTGGGGGAGAACGCTGATCCATGGAAATCCTAACAATCACAATAGGGACAACTTCTAATAACCATTTTTTCCCTTACTTACAAAAAAAACCACATGAGTGTACACACACACACACACACGAGTTGATAATTCATCACTGGGCAATGCATGACGCTCATTTTATTTTGTCCAGATTTATTAAATTATTCATTAAAATAAATGGCAATTTCAAGTACAGTAATGGCTTTGGTTCAGCCAATCATATGCATCTGTTATAATAAACTGTTATTTTAGTGCATGGGCTGGTCTTCAGATCAATTACAG